TTCTATCAATGTACCTTAAGATCAGAAGTTACTTTTCATAACCATTCTACTGCTTGTCTTTGGGCAATAGGAAAAGGTTTGGAAGGAAGATGGGGCTCTTAGAGTGAATCATTGATACAAGCTAGCTTTTGATATACGTTTTGGTATATCAAAGATACACTTTTTAGTGGCAATGTCTGATTTATTTGTAACATCCTGGAGAAGATTGGAATCTCTTTTTCTTTCTGTATCAGGCCAGGACAATAGGAGAAAGGGGACGGCAGATCTGTAGAGAGTGAGCAGGTGACTTGTTTAGGGTTTCCTGCCCTTGTGAGGTAGGGGCTCAAGGATTAGATTTAATCCCTCCATTTGCAGTGAAAGGAAGTAAACTCACTTTCCCACCCTCATCCTGGAGGTTACTTATGTTATTTGCAGACCCCAACTTCTGCCTCTCTGTTGAATACACTTCTTATGCAGGTTGCCTTGTACAGTATGTTGTACATTACCAATGGGAGAAAGATCCAAGGCTCTGGAAAGGACAGTGACAGTTGTCCTACATTGGCTAGTTCCAAGACCCTGAGGGAATCACCAAGTCAGTAATTAGGCAATTTCTTTTTCTTTCTTTTATTCTTTTCTTTTTTTGAGATGGAGTCTTGCTCTGTTGCCCAGGCTGGAGTGCAATGGCATGATCTCGACTCACTGCCAGCTCCGTCTCCCAGGTTTAAGTGATTCTCCTGCCTAAGACTCCTGAGTAACTTACAGGTGCCCGCCACCACACCCAGCTAATTTTTGTATTTTTAGTAGAGGCAGGGATTTCACCATGTTGGTCAGGCTGGCCTCAAACTCCTGAACTCAGGTGATCCACCTGCATTGGCCTCCCAAAGTGCTGTGATTATAGGTGTGAGCCACCACGCCCGGCCAGTAATTTCTTAAACTTTTATTTTTAGCAACTCCACATACATGAGAACTCTCATAATGTCCTAGTCAATAAAAAGAAAAGTTATTGAAGTTATAGATATTGCACCCAGGGATCCAGATCAAATCTTAAGGAAGGAAGAAGCTTAGAGGAGAACTTCACCCTGCCACTCTCTCATTGGAATTCCCTTCAAACAACGTGTGAGGTGTCAGCCCCATTTGAAGAACTAGTTTATATATCAGAGCATGGCCTGAAAGTCAAGTCATCATGGCATCAATTCTGGTCTTTTTTTTTTTTTTTTTTTTTAATAGAGACAAGGCCTCACTATATTGCCCAGGTTGGTCGTGAATTCCTGGGCTTAAATGATCCTCTCTCCTTGGCCATCCAAAGTGCTGGGATTACAGGTGTGAGCCACTGTGCCTCACCAGTTTTGGTCTTATAGATGACTAAGTGTTTTGGGGAGGGCATTCCAGGTGATGTGCAATTGCTCTATTCCTCTTAGACATCCCAGAATCTGGTCACAACCTCCTTTTTTCCACTACTCTTTTTCTATATGCACATTAAACCTGTTCTCCACTATTTCCCAGTCTACCAGCCCCTTTATGGTGTCAGTGCTTCCTGATCTATCACTTACAACAGGGCTTATACTGGCATTCTCAGATCTCTGTTTTTCTTCCACACTTGTCTTTTCTATCCCTATTGCTGGACCTGTGTTCATTGTCTCCACTGAGCTACTGAGTGCCATTCCATAACACTGTGCTGACTGACTCTATTACAGATTTATAAGCTCCAGTCACAGCTTGGCTCTCAATCCTATCCTGAAACCTTTTTATTCTCTTCTGGTTGACTGCCATTCATTTTTTTCTACAGCAGCCATTCCAGACTTTCATTCTCTTCAAACTTGTTACTCCACCCCACCTTATAAACTCAATAAGGAATTTACCTTTTATGTCTCAATTTATCTGTAGTCTTTACCAGTCCTCACCACATTCCCTGCTATTTCAGAGGCAGGTCTCTGGGCATATACATATATATTTTGTCTGTTCCTAGTGACTCTTTGTAAATATGTTCAGGTTTTCTCCATCCTAAGATAAAAATTCCTTTAAGCTTATCTCTTCTTCAGACTCTCTGTGCCTTTTTTTTCTTTACCATCAAACTACCTCAACAGTCTTTCTTCTACTCCTTTCGTCATTGTGAGCCGCTATAGCCAAGCTTTGTGTCCACCATCCCAATGAAAGGCTCTCGTTTGTGATGACTTGCTTGCAGAACTCAGCAGCCTCCTTTTGTTCTCACACTGTTTCATCTTGTCACAACATTTGACATCATTTGGACCTCTTTCCTTCCCTGACTGTATGCTATCTCTGGATAAGTTTACCTACTCTGGTGATTTCATTTAGGAACTTTGTCTGTGTGTATAGTGATGAGTCTCTTATCAGAATCTGTAACTACCTATCGTATGAGCTTTTCCCCAAGGTTCAAACTTGTATTTCCAAATGACTACTCTCCTTTTCCATTTTGCAGAAATGTATCCAAATTTGCACGTAATGTATCCAAAACTGAGCTTATACAACCACTATGGAGAATGGTTCGGAGAACTAAAAATAGAGCTACTGTACAGTCCAGCACTCCTAGGTATATACCTAAAAGAAAGGAAATCAGTATATTGAAGAGATATCTGGACTCCCATGTTTATTGCAGCACTGTTCACAATAGTCAAGATTTGGAAGCAACCTAAGTGTCCATCAACAGATGAATGAACAAAGAAGACGTGGGCTGAGTACAGTGACTCATGCCTGTAATCCTAGTACTTTGAGAGGCTGAGGTGGGCAGATCACTTGAGGTCAGGAATTCAAGATCAGCCCGGCCAACATGGAGAAACCCCATCTCTACTAAAAATACAAAACCTAGCCAGGTATGGTGGTGCATGCCTGTAGTCCCAGCTACTCGGAAGGCCGAGGCACAAGAATTGCTTCAATTTAATTTAGACAATGTTTATTTCATATTTTACTGCTACATTCCATCAAGAAATTTCTTGTTTTGATGTTATGACAAGTCAGCAAGTAAAAAACACATTTCTTTGAAAAAATACTTCTAAGCTCAGGCTCTTAACATATAAATATAATGCACAAAATAAATATACTGCAAAAAAAACCTACCCACCTACAAATTGCTGTATGCATCATTTCTGAAACATGTAATATTTATAAAAGCATAACTCTACATTGCTTTTATTTTCAGTTCTAAGTAAAAGAAAAACTTACTTTGTAAAGTGCTAGATCATAGGCTCAAGGGCATAAGGTGTCTGCCACAACTACTCAACTCTGCTGAGGTAGTGCAAAGACAGCCACAGGTCAAACATAAACAGATGTTTTTGTTTGTATTCGTGTTTTCAACACTTTATTTATGGACACTGAAATCTGAATATCATATAATTTTCATGTGTCACAATATTCTTTGATTTTTTTTCAACCATTTAGAAGTATAAAATCATTCTTAGCTTGCAGGATACAAAAATGGGTAGTGGGCTAGATCTGTCTGATGGACCATCATTTGTCAAACCCTGACTTAGCATAGTCAGGATCTGCCCCTAAATCACTTCTAGGAAAACAAACAACAAACAACCAAATCAAGGCACTGGCAGCAAGAAGGTGGGGGATGAATGTTGGGTAGCCAACTTTTTTTTTTTGCAGCATAATTCACAAAATACAAATAATGATGATGATAACCTCTAACATATAGCTCTTGTGTCTCAGACACTATTCTAAGTGCTTTGAAAATTTCAACTCATTTAGACCTCAAAGCAATCCTAAGATGTTGTCACTATCACTACTCTTTTATGGGAAGGGAAATGAGGCACACAGAGTAGCATGCCCCAGGCTGGAATTGGGGCCCAGGCAGCAGGAGTACAGAGTTCACACCCTTAACTATGTCATGTTGCTTCTATGAGGAAGAAAATGTTGGTGAAGAACACTTAGGACTCTCAGACAAAATACAAATGCAGATAGCTCTGCTCCCTGCTCACACATCAACAGTAAGATACATAATACTTCTTACATTACACTATTTGTTTTCACTGTATAGATTGTAATAAATATTACTGTTTTTAGCTGTTTAAAAACAGCTCAGGCTTTTGCTATATATAAATGTGTCCCTAACGCAAAACTTGGCTGACATTTGAAAATTTTACAAAAACATTTTAACTTCTTTTTGAAGGATTAGTTTAGTACCACTGTCTATATCCATTTACAAACACCAAAAAATAGGAGAAAAAGAAGCCTTATAATTTAAAAGGAATACTACACTTACAATACAAATATTAACAAGAGTCACTAGTGAGACTTAATGTGCAACATCTTCACACACATAATAGTCACTGAACTAAGGTTACATATTCCATATGTACAATTATGGATGGATTCCACATGCATGTTGAACATCCGTAAGTTACATGTTATAGCACACTCACATACAAAGTCCTATATACTAAAAGACATTTAATGTATGTTTAATGATGTTGCCTGATAATTTGTGCTTTTTAAAAGCTTCATATATGTAGACATTTGCAGGTTTCCTTTTAAAATAGAACAATCTTGGCATCAGATCGGCGACATGATTTCTAGTATAACTGTTTCCCTCAGTACAAATTATTTGAATTTTTGTTGAACACCTCCCAAATATTTAAAATATCTATCCAAGTACCAGTGATCTGACATTGAATGAAACAGCAATTCTTAATAAAGGTTTCTATATCTACCACTGTCTTTGCAGTTATCCCTTTGAATTCTCTAGTATATGAGCTCCAATTGTGTAAAGAGATTTCTGGATACTCAAGGAGCTTCTCACTCTTGAACTTTTGGATGTCTACAGCTGGCTGCCCTGACAGAAAATGTACTGACACTCGTTTTACTTACAGGAGTTCTCTCCTGTGTGATTTCTATGTTGCAAAACAAAAGTAACTTCTGAAAGGCTTCCCTCCTGTTTTACAATTTGCATGACTTCTGCCATTTATATTATCTGGGATTTAGAAAAGTCTACAATATGATAAAATTTTCTCCCAAATAAATGTACAGAATTTCTCTCTATGTATTTGCTGATACACAGAAAGAGCAAAGATTGTAGGTGAAAATTTTCCTATATTGAGGCCATTCATAAGGTGTACCTCTTGTGTGAATTATCTGATTGTTCTGAAGGATGAATTCAGTCAAGAGAATTTCTCAACTCATCTTGCTTCTCAGCCTTCCTCTTCTTTGTGTGTGTCTTCTGATGTGCAGTGAGTTGTGACTTCTTCTGGATAAAGGTTTCCCCACACTCTTGGCATTCTCCCCTGTGTGTTTTCTCTGATGTATAATAAAATGTGACTTCTGAAAAAAGGACTTCTCACATTCCTTGCATGCATAGGGCTTCTCTCCTGTGTGAGTCCTTTGATGTAATCTGAGGACGGAATTCACAGAGAAAGATTTGCCACATTCTGTGCATTCATAGGGCTTCTCCCCTGTGTGTTTTCTCTGATGTTTAGTGAGGTCTGATTTATAGTAAAAGGTTTTCCTACATTTATTACATTCATAGGGTTTCTCCCCTGTGTGAGTTCGCTGATGTACTGTGAGGGCTGACTTCTGGTAGAAGCATTTCCTACATTCCTTACATTCATAGGGTTTCTCTCCTATGTGAGTTCTCTGATGAGTTTTGAGGTGTGATTTCCTAGAGAAGAATTTCCCACATTCCTTACATTTATAGGGTTTCTCCCCTGTGTGTGTTCTCTGATGTACTGTGAGGTGTGACTTCTGGGAAAAGGCTTTCCCACACTCCTTACACTCATAGGGTTTCTCCCCTGTGTGTGTTTTCTGATGTACCATAAGGTATGCCTTCACATAGAAGAACTTCCCACATTCAGTACATTCAAAAGGTTTCTCCCCTGTGTGTGTTTTCTGATGTTCCATGAGATGTGGTTTCTGGTAGAAGGATTTCTCGCACTGATTACATTCGTAGGGTTTCTCTCCTGCATGGGTTCTCAGATGTCTACTGAGAGATGATAGGTGGTAAAATATTTTCTCACATTCTTTACACTCGTAGGTTTTATCTCTCGTGTAAATTTTCTGATGTCTTGTGAGGTCTTCATTTTTGGAGAAAGAGTTCCCACATTTATCACAGTCATAGGATTTGCCCTTTGAGTGAGTATGCTGATGTACTATGAGGGCAGACTTCTGATAGAAGAACTTCCCACATTCCTTACATTCATAGGCTTTCTCTGTGGTACGAGTTTTCTGATGTTTAACTTTCCTAGACAGAAAGTTCCACATTCACTAATGTGTAAGACTTTTAAGGCTTTTTCCCCCCAATAGGTGTATTTTCCAAGTACCTCTGAGGACTGATTTCTAGAGATGCTCACATATTTATTGGTTCCATAGGGTTTCTCCACTGTGAACATTCTCTGACCTGCACTGTAGTTTAACATTTAGTAAGGTGAATCTGCATCTGCATTCTATTCACAGGGTCTCTCAATTGCCTGCTTTCTGTTTTGTGTAATAAAGACTCCTTTTATTATTTAATTCAAAGAGTAAAAAGACTACTTCAAAGTTTCAGTCTCCTGATCCTGCACAAAGTTTCTATGAAAAGGGGTATTCCCATTTGGATTATATTCCTCGGGATTTGCTCTGCAGTGTTAGTTTTCTCATAGTTAGTATTAACTAGTGTCCTCCCATTTCCAGTAACTCCTTCAAGACTCTTGCTTACAAATCTTTAATCTTAAACATTAATTCTTGAACTTGCCTTGAATTTCCAGCTTGGCTTTCCCGGTATCTTGATTCTAGATCATGAATACTCCATAGGTCTTCTACAAGGGAATCAAAAATTTAATACTTTATAAACATGAACACATTAATATTGTCATAGCATTGATTCTTAGGCTTCAGGTCAATTTCTCATAATGAAAGAACCTCAAATGCAAATTTCCTCTAGCCCATTGTTTTGGAAAAATAAACTAAAACAAACACTAAAAACTGCTGTCACACAAAGAAGAAGGAATCTAGTTGTAGACCCATGTGCTCTGACATTTTTACAAATATGACCTTAAGAGCCTGGAGGCAAAAGTTAACGACAAAAACAAAACAAACAAACAAACAAAAAACTGGGAGTGGAGAACACAGGACATTTGAAGTGTTGCTAAACAAGAGTGTGGGAAGTATAGAGAATGCTGTGAGCCCCTTAAGGACCATGAACAGTAAGCAGGATAAGCAAAACTACTGGACAACAGTGTTCCCTGGAATTACATGGAAGACTAAACTGGAAGAAGGAGCTGAAGTATACTGAAGTATAGGTCTTTATTCCCTCAAACCTAGATTACTGTGCTAGGATTGCTAGCATTTAGCAGACAAACTTCTACTTTATTTCCTCTTCATCCATCTACAGCAATCTATGTGTCAATACTAAAGGGACTTTCTCAGAACATCAGTTTCCTCAGGCTTAGAGGAAGAGTCCTGTAGCTTGGGCTTTCACTCTCCATCTAGCTGGCTTTGTTTTCAGGACAGGAAGATGGAGGACCACATATATCCAAAAGGAAAGATTTTCTTAAAAGCATCAGGATAAGCCATCTATACGAGGATGAATTCCTAGTTGTAACACCAGAGATTTTCAATCCTGAACATATCCTGACCACCAAATCCTGCACTTCTAAAGCACTTGTTACTTATGACTCAGCACTAGTCTTGAATTTCGATTTCCTCTCTTGCTTTCTCCATCTCTGCTTCCAATTTACTACAGGATCTTTAAAGATTCAGTTATTAAACATCATCCTAGAATCTTTAGTGACCTTCATATTTATGCATCTTTAAATCCATGAAAGCAAGTGAAAGATTATCAGTAGAGGCTTGGAGTTGGAATTTCATAGCAATGGTGGGGAATACATAAGAAAAGTCACTTGACAGGGACTTATGCAACGTTAACTCAGATACACATGACATAAGATCATATGTATGGGCCGGGAACGGTGGCTCGTGCCTATAATCCCAGCACTTTGGGAGGCCAAGGTGGGTGGATCACATGAGGTCAGGAGTTTGAGACCAGCCTGATCAACATGGTGAAACTCTACCTCTACTAAAAATACAAAAATTAGCTGGGCGTGGTGGCGGGCACCTGTAATCCCAGCTACTTAAGAGGCTGAGGCAGAAGAATCGCTTGAACTGGGGAGGTGGAGGTTGCAGCGAGCTGAGATCACAACACTGCACCCCAGCCTGGGCAACAGAGTACAACTCCATCTCAAAAAAAAAAAAAAAAAAAATCTTATGTTTGGAAAACATTTAAGAGCAGAGTAAAATGGAGATTAACAGGTGTCTTGGGACCACAAGGAGAAATAAGTTGCATAGGCAGGAGAGGGCCAGACTAGTTCTTGACAGAAAATTCATTTAAATGAATATTACTAATACCTCCTTACTCTTGTAAGATTTTTATTTTGTCTAAATGACTCAATACTAAATGACTTAATACTGAGTCAGTATTAGTCATACCATGCAGGCTTCTGGCAATGTACATATGCTGCATTACACAGCTACTGTGGGAATTTAAATCAACAATTTTTGTTTTGGCCTAACAAGGAAGGAAGTAGAATAAGCAGAACTATCTTATAAGAAGGTAAAAATACAGGATCAGAATATAAACAGGGCAAAGATGCTGGAGAGGTCAATTTTAGGAGTCCTCATCATAAAAACCAGTGCATTGGCCTTAAGAATGGATGAGCTCTTACAGGACTTACTAAAAAGCACAGAGCAGAAAGTAGAGAGTGTCTGTCTGTTGTTAATTATTTTATATATGTTTTATTTCTTTTTTTCATGAACATGAGTCTCACTATGATCCACCCACTTTGGCCTCCCAAAGTGCTGGGATTACAGCCGTGAGCCACCATGCCCGGCCAGTCTCTTGTTAGTTAATATTCTTTCTTTCAACAAATATCTAGTGAGCAACTAATATGTACTAGGCATTGTTCCTGATACTGGCAACACATCTGTGCACAAGTTAGGAAATACATGACAAACATTTAAGGAGGCAGGATGAGATTGTTGTAGTGTTATCTAAATAAGGTGCAGTAGATTTTAGGGAGGTTAAGCAGTGCTTTGTGGGAAGGATAAACACTGCATAGCAGGAAGTAGCAACTCTGAAATGAAAGAATTGATGAGCGGCATAACGATTTCTAATCTGAGCTCAGAGTTTAAGGAAAAAATGGGAAGTTAAAATTGGTGCCAAAATAACGAGGTATTTTGTTGTTAATAAAAGGAGGGAGATGCCATTTAAAAACGTTATAAGTCAGATTTACAAACACTTTATAGTTGCATACTCTAATGGCAGGGAGTAACTGGTGATTCTAGAGAAAAAGACAAAAAAAATCTTACAAGGGTAAGGAGGGATTAGAGTTTGTATATAGGAAAGAGAAGTAAATCTATTTAAAACATGTCTAGCAAAGGAGAGAATTTAAGTGGAGAGAACAAAAATTGGAGGTATGACTTAGGTTTTTTAAACATGTGCCAATCAAGTGTCCTTAATCATTGCCAAAACTATAAGGCATTTATAAAGAGACTGCCAAGGCCGGGCGTGGTGGCTCACGCCTGTAATCCCAACGCTTTGGGAGGCCGAGGAGGGTGAATCACCTGAGGTCTGGAGTTCGAGACGAGCCTGACCAACATGAAGAAATCCTGTCTCTACTAAAATTACCAAATGAGCCAGGCATGGTGGTGCATGCCTGTAATCCCAGCTACTCGGGAGGCTGAGGCAGGAGAATCGCTTGAACCTGGGAGGTGGAGGTTGCGGTGAGCTGAGATGGCAACATTGGACTCCAGCCTGGACAACAAGAGTGAAACTCTGTTTCAAAAAAAAAAAAAATGAGAGATTGCCGAAAAATATATTTCAGAAGGCAAGAGGCACCAACCACTCACCAGTAACATGGGATATAATTTCTTCTAACTCACAGGGCAAGACCCGATGTGGAAATTCTACTTCTAATATCCACGGCTCTTTTCCTTGCTTCAACTTGAAGACCGCAGTTGGTTTATTCACATGGTAACCTATGAATGAAAATATGAAGGAAATGATACAAATTGTTTGGAATTTAGGGACTGTGAAAGATGAGGAAGTGGAGTTTCAGGAGAATGATGAAGGTTGCAGTTAGGCTTGGCAAATTTAGATTCTTTCAGTGGGGAGACAGGGACACAAATATTTTTTCTAGTACCCAAAATGGATTTATTAACTTCAACTTCTGAATCATAGCTAATGTCAATCATTCAACCCTATAGGGACCTCTTACATTCCAGCAACCAAGAAGGGAGATGCAAACTAGCGGGATTTACACCTGCGGAAGTTTTCCTCACCCACTGAGACCAGGTGACTATAGTTTTCCAGCATCACATCCTTATACAGAGTCCTCTGAGCAAAGGTCAGTAACTTCCATTCCTCCTTGGTGAATTCCACAATAACATCCTTTAATGTCACGGGTCACTGGAATAACAAACTTCAGTTCAATCTAAAGTAACCAGAATAGATAGCATACCATTGAAAAGACATGTGAGCTAGCTCTTAGTGTACTAACTGCAAAGTTCACTCTGGAGAGTTAGAATATGTGCCATGCTGTACCCTGCTTTATTCATAGAAGGAATATTTGTTCAGTACATATTTACTGAATTCCCACTCCATGCCTGGAACTCTACTGAAGATACAAAGAAGAAAAAAAAAACGAGTGTCACATGCTGCATAATGACATTTCAGTTAATGACAGAATCCATATATGATGAAGATCCTGTAAGAAAATGCAGTATTTTTATTGTCTGTTTTCTACATTTAGATACATAAATTCTTACCATTGTGTTACAAATTGCCTACAGTGTTCAGTACAGTAACATACTATATAGGTTTGTAACCTAGGAGCAAAGGGCGACACCACATAGCCTAGGTGTGCAGTCAGCTATACTATCTAGGCTTGTGTAGGGACATTCTATGATGTTTGCATGATGAAGTCACCTAATGATACCTTTCTCAGAACATATCCCCGTCACTAAGTTACACATGACTCTATTCCTGTGATCAAGGAACTTATATTTTGCCAGGGAGACAAAGGTGAAAATGCTAAAACAGAGTATGTGAAGCAGGTGCCATGATAGAAACATGTACACAATATGAGACAAATGCTAAAACACAGTATGTGAAGCAGGTGCCATGATAGAAACATGTACACAATATGAGACAAATGCTAAAACACAGTATGTGAAGCAGGTGCCATGATAGAAACATGTACACAATATGAGACCACCACAAATGGGGGTAATTATTTGCATTTCATATTGTCATGTTAGATTTTATTAGGTGGTCAAACTGACTAACTTTAGGATTAAAGAAAACACATTTGGCAAAGGCATGGATGCATAGAAATGGCAAGTTTAGGAAACCACATGTAACTTGGTAGGTATGGTATCTACAGTGGGTATATACCTATAGTAGGTATATACCTTGGTAGGTACATACCTATGGTAGGGCATAGGACCAAGATTAGTTAGAAGGTTACAGTGTAAAGTCAAGGGTCAGGACAAGAAGAAATTCTGAATCTGTCTTTTGGACCAGTAAAGTATATTTTGCATACACACTTAACAAATAAATCTCTGCTTATTAATATATTACATACATTTGCATGCATTAATGTTTATTAAGAATTAAGGAGGTGGATGTGGTGGCTCAGGCCTGTAACACCAGCTACTTGAGAGGGTGATATGGGAGAATCTCATGAACCTGGGAAGTCAAGGCTGCAGTAAGACACAGCGAAACTCTACCTAAAAAAAAAAAAAAATTAGGCTGGGTGCAGTGGCCCACGCCTGTAATTCCACCACTTTTAGAGGTCGAAGCAGGTGGATAACCTGAAGGCAGGAGTTTGAGACCAGCCTGGCCAACATGGCAAAACCCCATCTCTACTAAAAATTACAAAAATTCATCAGGTGTGGTGGCACGCACCTGTAGTCCCATCTACTCAGGAAATTGAGCCAAAAGAATGGCTTGAACCTGGGAGGCAGAGGTTGCAGTGAGCCAAGGTCGTACCACTGAACTCCAGCTTGGGTGACAGAGCAAGACTCCATCTCAAGAATAATAATAATAATAATAATAATAATAATAATAATAAACTTAACAAGTTTCTTTTGTTCATATAAGAGAGAACATAAATAGATATTCTGCTATTTCATATTATGTGAAATGTCATATATCTCTGGGATGATCACCATTCACTGTGTAGATGAAAATACAGACACTAGGAGCCACTGAAGAGATGTGTCAAGTAAGCACTGGAGTTACAGGGGTAAATGAGTGGCTTAGGAGAAAACTTTAACGTAGAAGTAGCAAATGGCACATTAGAAAAATCAGAAAAACATTTATATGAAAGCAATAGCAGTGGGGGAAAGAAGTATAATGTAACTTTGTAATTAATTGGAAATTAGTTAATAACCACCGGGAGAAAGTGTTTGGGTGAGGGAGAAAGGAAAAGATGGAGGAAGGTGAACAAGAAGGCACAATCCATGTTGCTTCCAGGTTCTTCCTCACCAACTTTCCTGCAGGTGGGAAAATGCAGCCCATGCCTGGGAAGATGCAGATCAACCGAGCATGTGCCAGGTGACATCAATCCAAAGAGATCGAAACTTACCTGGCCATGCCTATGGAGACGCCCCTATCATGCCCTTATCCCACCCACTGCCCTCCCCCTTCCAATACCAATGCATAAAAGTCCGCCGCCAGCAGGAGCCGGCGTGACTTCTTTGACTTCTTTGGCCCCCGCATTTGTGGACTGGAGAACCTCACCCCAGAGCGCAGGTGTGACTTCCCTGGCCCTTTCCCACAGACCAGTGAACTTCGCCCGAGAGTGTGTGCATATTTGCAAATTCAAGGGCTGCCACTTTCTTTGCTCGTTTTGGCCTTTATTGCTATTTAGTCTTTGTGTCTATTAATAATAGTAATAGAGAAACAAAACAGAAAGAGGGAGGGCAGCTCCCATAGTGTCTGTATGCCTTGCTTGTGGGTACAGTCATAGTGCCAATTATTTTCATTCATTCACTTTTATTGGTAGAACTGTTTAAGGCTATGAAATTTCTTCTCATCATTGCTTTATTTATATTCCATGAAATCTGAAAGGCAGTATTTTTACTTGCAGAACATCTTGGCTGGATATAAATTCTTGTTTTTTTTTTTTTTTTCCTTTTTTCTTTTGAGATGGAGTCTGGCTCTGTCTCCCAGGCTGGATGGCGCAATCTCGGCTCACTGCAACCTCCGCCTCCCAGGTTCAAACGATTCTCCTACATCAGCCTCCCAAGTACCTGGGATTACAGGCGCCTGCCACCACACCCTGCTAATTTTTGTATTTTTAGTAGAGATGGGGTTTCAGCATGTTGGCCAGGCTGGTCTTGAACTCCTGACCTCAGGTAATCTGCCCGCCTTGGCCTCCCAAAGTGCTGGGAATACCGGCCTGAGCCACCATGCCCAGTCGGTTTGGTTTTTTGTTTGTTTGTTTGTTTTGACATGGAGTCTCGCTCTGTTGCCCAGGCTGGAGTGCAGTGGCGGGATCTCAGCTCACTGCAAGCTCCACCTCCCAGGTTTACACCATTCTCCTGCCTCAGCCTCCTGAGTAGCTGGGACTACAGGCACCCGCCACCACACCCAGCTAATTTTTTACAAACTAACATTATTGTGTGGCAACAAGGAAGTCTGTAAATGAAACAGGAATACAAGGAAAAGGATGAGTTGGGCAGGAGTTAATGAGTTGAATTTCATTTATTCTGTGCTTAAAGTGACTGTGGAACATAAAGCTGGAATTGTCCATTTTGGCAGATATACATATGAGTAAGTTTCCACAAACAGAATTTTCAAATATATAAAAAATAGAGTTCTAGAAGAGCCCAAAAAAGAAGCTCTGGGGGCCGGGCACGGTGGCTCACGCCTGTAATCCCAGCACTTTCATCTCTACTAAAAAAAAAGAAAAAAAAAAAAAATTAGCCAGGCATGGTGGCAGGCGCCTGTAGTCCCAGCTACTCAGGAGGCTGAGGCAGCAGAATGGCGTGAACCTGGGAGGCAGAGCTTGTAGTTAGCCAAGATCGAACCACTGCACTCCTGCCTGGATGACCGAGTGAGACTCTGTCTCAAAAAAAAAAAAAAAAAAAAAAGAAGCAGCACATGCAGCAAGCTTTGACCAGCAGATCTGGAGATAATGGCAGGAGACTAGGCCCAGACTATGGAGCCTGAGAGAACTTCTCTAAACATAAGAGACCAGGAGGAGTATCTAGGAAACCAAAGAAAGGGAGATTTACAAATAAGGGACAGTAGTAGTTCAAAATCCAAATGTAAAGAGTCCAAATTAGCATAACCACACATCAGCACAGCAAAGGAGTGAAAGCTGTAATAAGTAAGCAGGCCTTTTGAGAAATTTTGGAAATATCTAGAATTCCTAAGACCAGATAAGAGAATCCAGCTCTTGGACACACATCCTAACAAAGAGCTCATGTCAACTTCTATGCTCAGAGTCAAAGGGCTGGGGTTTGGCAAGGACAGAAGAATGACTGATAGGAAAATTATTAAAGACTCCCCACTTAAAAAACAACAACAAAAACCAAAGAGCATCCAGTATAAAGCAAGAGCTGATGAAGAGACCCCACCACATAATGGTACCAGGGTCAATTGGGCAACATGATTACTTCACCAAGGTCCCTAAATATGGGCACAATACAGACAAAAAGAGAAACACAAAATTGTGTGATATACACACGTAGACATTTTATTCTGTTGAAATACATCTGTATTTATTTAAAGCAACACTTCTATTTCTGTGAAAGCATACAAGTACTAGTTTCTTTGATGACAGCAATTCTATTTCAGCAATTAAGAGATTACCTAAGAGAATAAGGGCAAAACTGACATATGACTTTTCATATGTAGAACCCAATGTTAAAGACAAAGAAAAAACACCCACAAAGGATAAAGGTTTTGAACCTAGAATTCCATGCCCTGCCTAATTTTTCATTCAAGGATAATAAAAAAAGATGTTTTCATAAATACAAAGATGTTAAAAGCATACAAATGAAGCACTAATTTTGCAAGGCATTCTAGAATATACTTAATAGAAACTACAAAAAAAACCACATGGCAAATCAGATATAAAAGCTAACAAGGCCGGTTGCGGTGGCTCACGCCTGTAATCCCAACACTTTCGGCGGCCGAGGCGGGTGGATCACCTGAGGTTGGGAGATCGAGACCAGCCTGACCAACATGGAAAAACCCCGTCTCTATTAAATATACAAAATTAGCCAGGCGTGGTGGCTCTTGCCTGTAATCCCAGCTACTCAGGAGGCTGAGGCAGGAGAATTGCTTGAACCCAGGACATGGAGGTTCTGGTGAGCCGAGATCGTGGCATTACACTCCAGCCTGGGCAACAAAGATTGAAACTCCATCTCAAAAAAAAAAAAAATCTCATACAG